TATGAAAAAGTATAAATCAATGGAAAGGCTAGACTACAATTCCGTATCTATAAGTTGTACATCCACTACATATACAACTGGTGCACACTCGAGACGTAAATCGTCAAGTTCAGTGTCGCAGGGAGACAAAGAAGATGCTGTGTTGGAAAACGACAAACTGCACGAATCTCAATTTATGTCATCAAGAAGGACAAATAGAGGAAGAAGATCTTTAAAAGGAAAGCGAAGTCCTTCGCCACCAAACAACATCAGTCCAGTCAGAACGAGTGTTGTTCACAGCAAGCGGAAACATTCGCCCCATAAAAGTCCAAAATCTCTGAGTGTAAGGTGTAGCAGTGATCTAACAACAACAAGCCATGAAGTAGAATCAAATGTGACGTCAGTGGAAACAACATCTCTATCTCGCTTAAGCGTCGACGATAGGGACTTCGTCGATCTTAAAATTCCGGGTTTTGCCCCTGTATCTCCTGTAGATTTACCCGAAACAAAGAAACATTCAAGTGACGAAGCATTCGATGTGTTGAGTGGATCACGAGATTTCAAACCAAACTTGAATTTTAGAAATTGTAAAGAAGAATCTCTGAAGCTGTCTGAACTTACCAGTACTTTGACCAGTGCAGAGGTTCACAGAAGCTTGGGATCAAATTTGCTTCCAAACGAGCTTGAAAACACTTATTCAAACAAAATTTCAGATAATGAATTTAACGCAAACCATGAAAATCCTGTTGTCGATGACACACAATCAGGTATTTTTTCAAATCAAACTGGTGAAAGCACAACAAGTGCTGATGAATTGGCAGGCATATTTTCTAACAGTACCATTATCGAAGATATCAATGGGCTACCCAATGGGAATGAAACACTAATTGAACTTGAAACTGATACTTTGCATATTCCTTTGATAGGATTCGATAATATTAGACCAGATATGCATTCATCTTCAGTGGATCACCAACACGAAAGCAGTGGTAGCAGCAGTGATAAAACTGGCGTAACTCAAATCGAAAATAAACTCTATGATCCCCCAACAATATCTTCGATTCTTTTCAATGAGAATGTTTCAATTACAGAACCAGTAGAGTTTATCGATTTTGAACGTGATTTTAAGAATCCAACAGAAATTAACACAGCCGAAAGTACAGAACACCCCGAAAGAAATCAGATAAAAACAGAGGCCGTCGACATGGTCGTAGAAGATTCGTCCAACATGATAAAAACCGTTTTAGAATCTTCAATATCTGTTTCCCCTCCTAAAACAAAGGGCGGCGCATGTTTTCATACAGACAAAAACTCGATACTGAACAACAGCCTTTCGCCAAAAGCTTTCCGCAAATTAGCTGCGTCAACGCTCCAACTTTTGGAAAGTGTGGGACCGCCGATAGACAATGCAGGACATCAAAGATCAAACCTATTTTTCCGTGATGACGTAAGTGAGCAAGAAAATCCTACACGTCTAAACGTTTTCATGAAAATCCCGAGGGATCTACATTTTAAAACACACATGTCCGATTTCATTCGCATTCCAGCAGAGAACGTGGAGATATTTTCAGATATCATGTCGTATTTGGATGGCATTACGAAAACAGTAGCAGGAGATGTGTCAATGCTTGCAAGCGGTATGTAAATATCCGATTATATTACCTATTAACCCAATAGTTTTTCAGTTTATGATTCAGGATATGGTATTTTCATCATGTTGTTACGTCGCAAAATCAGAACCGAGAAGTGATTTTTTTAATTTCTGATGGATGCCAGACCATGATTATGACTTTTTATGGATCAAAATTGATTATAATATTGGGAGCTCCCGAAGTATGTGCACCAAGATGGCGCACAACCTGAACATAGTATGTGCAAGAGTATCAGGTTAGGGTTCAGGTTGTGCGCCAACATACTTTGGGAGCACCCAATATTGTCGCCTGAAGAACGGTTGAATTTAATTGTAATAATTGTGTTTTCTTTGGCTAAACAAATCAAATACCCTCTCACACACTCTCTTTCTTCAAATGGCGCTTCGATCAGTTATTTTCCAATGCTCTCTATGCGTTTGATTCCAAGACTCATACTCTGGCACAACTCAGAAACATAGAGCTTCTACATAAGTTTGGTTGGGCGTCTAGCTTGTTATTTTAAAATGATTAGAGGCGCTTGTCATGTTGGTTTTATACATCTATAATTTATTGCTTGGTCATCTTCAGGCGAATTAAACATTCTGTCCGTCGATTTGAAACAAAAAGAAAATAGAACTGCACATCGAACGTTGGAGTACTCGGATGATCTACTAATATTACGTAGAGGACAGCCGTTTGATATAGAACTTGAATTGAGTCAAAACTTTGAAGAGAATCACCATAATATAGTGGTAGAATTATTAATTGGTATGTTTTATTTTTTCACTTTCCCAAAACTGTTACATTATTTTATTTTGTTAATTTGAGTTTCTTTAAATTCGCAAAATTCTTACCTTACATAATGCCGATATCAAGATTAGATTGTAGGTTATACATTAAAACAAATTTGCAATAAAGAAAAAATTAAATGAAGATAATTTAAAATGTAAAATAAACATTTTTTTTCTTCTATTAATGAACACTGTTCAGATAAAACACCATTTATCTACCACCATTTATTTTCATTTTTCGAGGTTGGTCAATATAGTTGGTTAACATTTTCAATAAACGTTGTTACAATATTTTCGATTTATCGCAGGTAACTCTCCGCGAGTCAGCAATCGTACCCATCTCTTTCTTCCCGTGAAACGTTCCAATATAATTAAATCGGAGCAATGCATCACATCAAACAGTGGTGGATGGTATACAAGGCTTGTGGAGAGTTGCGGAAAACTTGTAAAAATCGCCATTACGCCACCTTTTGTGTGTGCTATAGGATCTTACAGCCTATGTTTTCGGGTAAGTACGAGGGTGTGGCTAAAAAGAAACGAGACTGACGTCACAGATTGCGCAACACGATTAACCATTGGTAATCAACACTTTTACAGTGTGGTGTAATATGTGTTCTTTGTTCAACAGCTTTTTTGACACAATATCGCAATTATTTTTGCTCTTTAGGAGTCGTAGGTGAATGTGATTAATTGCTTGTTGAAAAAAAAATTGCCGTGCGAGATCTGATTGAGTTTTTTGGCGATAGGGGGTTCAATTGCAGAATGACGATTGAGCAATGAATTAACATTAAATTTTGTGTCAAACTTGGAAAAACGGCGACTGCGACTTTGAAGAAATTGTGTGATGTTTATGGAGATTCTTCCATGTCCAGAACAAGAGTTTTTGAATGGCACAAGCGATTTGTGGGATGCAGGGAGGATGTGGAGGATGATTCGAAGTCAGGAAGGCCTTGCACTTCCACAACTGATACCAACATCGAAAAGGTATCAGTTGTGAGTTCAGTTGTGAAAGTCAGTTGATTCGCAGCGACCGTCGCTCAACAATTCGCGTCATTGCGAAGTTGGAAAAGACAAAAAAAAACGGTTCGCACCAGTTTGGTTGACACTTTTGGCTTGTGAAAGGTGAGTGCCAAAATGGTGCCAAGGCTGTTGACTGAGGAGCAGAAAGCTCAACGATTAAATGTTGCCCAGTTGACATGCATTTTTCCAAGTTTGACACAAAATTTAATGTTAACTCTTTGCCCAATCGTCATTCTGCAATTGAACCCCCTATCGCCAAAAAACTCAATCAGATCTCGCACGGCAATTTTTTTTTCAACAAGCAATTAATCACATTCACCTACGACTCCTAAAGAGCAAAAATAATTGCGATATTGTGTCAAAAAAGCTGTTGAACAAAGAACACATATTACACCACACTGTAAAAGTGTTGATTACCAATGGTTAATCGTGTTGCGCAATCTGTGACGTCAGTCTCGTTTCTTTTTAGCCAAAAAGAAACGAGACTGACGTCACAGATTGCGCAACACGATTAACCATTGGTAATCAACACTTTTACAGTGTGGTGTAATATGTGTTCTTTGTTCAACAGCTTTTTTGACACAATATTTTTTGCTCTGTGAATGTGATTAATTGCTTGTTGAAAAAAAAATTGCCGTGCGAGATCTGATTGAGTTTTTTGGCGATAGGGGGTTCAATTGCAGAATGACGATTGAGCAATGAATTAACATTAAATTTTGTGTCAAACTTGGAAAAACGGCGACTGCGACTTTGAAGAAATTGTGTGATGTTTATGGAGATTCTTCCATGTCCAGAACAAGAGTTTTTGAATGGCACAAGCGATTTGTGGGATGCAGGGAGGATGTGGAGGATGATTCGAAGTCAGGAAGGCCTTGCACTTCCACAACTGATACCAACATCGAAAAGGTATCAGTTGTGAGTTCAGTTGTGAAAGGCAGTTGATTCGCAGCGACCGTCGCTCAACAATTCGCGTCATTGCGAAGTTGGAAAAGACAAAAAAAAACGGTTCGCACCAGTTTGGTTGACACTTTTGGCTTGTGAAAGGTGAGTGCCAAAATGGTGCCAAGGCTGTTGACTGAGGAGCAGAAAGCTCAACGATTAAATGTTGCCCAGTTGACATGCATTTTTCCAAGTTTGACACAAAATTTAATGTTAACTCTTTGCCCAATCGTCATTCTGCAATTGAACCCCCTATCGCCAAAAAACTCAATCAGATCTCGCACGGCAATTTTTTTTTCAACAAGCAATTAATCACATTCACCTACGACTCCTAAAGAGCAAAAATAATTGCGATATTGTGTCAAAAAAGCTGTTGAACAAAGAACACATATTACACCACACTGTAAAAGTGTTGATTACCAATGGTTAATCGTGTTGCGCAATCTGTGACGTTATATGCAAAAAAGTGTGTGCTTTCTTTTAGTAAGATCATATCAGATATATAGAAGCCTACTCTTTAACTGGTGACTGTGTTTGTTACAGATTCAAAAAGACGAAACTGAGTCTCGTTGGAACTGTGGGACGGAGAATTGCCAAAGTTTTAAAGTTCTGTTTAATCCGTGGTGTATTGATGATGCTGTGTTTATGAGTAGTCAGTCTGATCGGACTGAGTACGTTACAACTGACTCAGGATGCAAATATTCCGGAAACGAATCCAGTTTGATTCCGATCCCATGTGTATTTGGACAGGTTTGTAATATCTGAATTTAAAATCTTCCTATAAAAAGTAGTTTTATAAAGCTATTCGGTTATTGTAATTACAGCACGAGATGGGTGTTTTAGAAGCCTGTATTGAATTGTTAGACTCTTGCAACCTACCCACTGCAAAGAAAGGTGATCCAGTTTCCGTGACAAGAGCTATTTGTCGACGAATTGCAAATATAACTAACACAACACCAACGAAAATGACGCAATCCCATTACGGTGGCGTTTTCGATACTTTGCGCAATTTTATGAAGATTGGAATGTTAGATATCCCGGACAACCTAAATTCTACTGCTATATTGGTTACTGGTGTGTATTTTTATTGTTTAAATATCCAATGTTGGCCGGGGAAGTACCATATTTCCTCAGATCATAACCTAGGTAATTGTTTAGTGTTGCATCAAGGTTGATTGAATTGCAAGATTGATGTTCTGTAAGAATAGGAAATGTTGTGTAATAATCTTTACTGACGCATGCCCAAACATTACCACATTTGGGTAACGGATTTATAGGCATTATATTATGAAGCTTTTAATCTTTGTTCGCATGTTTAAAGATATGCTAATTGTCAACATTTTCAGTTTTCCGATGTCTTGGATTACCATCACGCTCAGTTACAGGGATCAATTGCGCAGTAGAAACTGATCTACCCATGACGGTAAATGTTCATTACAACGACGAAGGGTATTCATTGGATTATCTTAACAACGATAAAATTTGGTTAGTACAACTATTTTGATAGATATTAAATTAAATTTTTGAGAGATATTAAATTAAGATATTAGCAAAAACCATCGAGCGCACAGATTCCGAATTTGAAGTCCTGATTATCTTATACTTGTACCTCCTCACTAGAAAGGTAATTTGAGAAATTGAAAAATCAACAATTGTCGTTCAGGCCAAGTGTGTCCTGGGTTGGTGTGTGGATGAGCAGGGTAGATCTACCTCCAGGATTTGGTGGATGGCAAGAAATTATGCCCTGGCATAGTTCACTTGGACCAGTCCCAGTATATGCGATAAAGAAAGGCCAGACGTATTGTTGTGAAGGAACTCAAGAACATTTTTTCACATTAAATGCTGACACGGTATGTCCATCAATAAAATATTTTTTTACTAGAATATATATCAAACTTGAACTCGAATTCGTCTCATACCAAATTTGTCTTCAAATGTGCATATAACAGGGTTATTTACGGCACCACAGAGAAACGGAGTTACACAATGTTGCTTTAAGTCAAGTATTTTGCCTAGAACTACGATATAAATTTTTAACGCGCATATTCCAATATTCTATGTCGTTAGATAATTTATTCATTAATTAAATTAAGATAACTCTTTTGAGGTATGAATTTTTTTGTTAGCAATTTTTCCATCTTTGCCTAAACATAATCGAAACGCTGGAAATCATATAAATTACTATCTATTGATTGATCGAGAATCCCCTCGAGCAGCTCTTCGTAGCGTCTTCAGCTAAAATTATACATTGGCAGATGACATATTTTTTCCAGTTTTCTATATACTGCATCATGCGATAAATAATATGCTATCAATATGCACTATTAGTGATATTATTGTTAGTATGTTGTTTTTGCTCTATTGGTATACCTAGTTAGTATTGTCAGTTACAGTTCTGATGATTACTTCATCTAATTACCCACCCGCCCCAAATTGACCAAGGTCAGCGAAAGGGTACTCCCGAAGTATGTGAACCAAGATGGCGGACACCGGAACGTAGTATGTAGGGGTGTAAGTTTCGAATATTTTTTTTCGAATCGAATTTCGAATCGCAATGTTCCGATTTGAATATTTCCGAATCTGATTCTATTTAGTATATCATCATATTATAGTTAACTTTCCTCAAATTTGGAAGAAATATAGTATAAATTTTGATGAAATAACAATACTGAGCTTGAAGAATTAAGAAAGTTACCAGAAAAACACACTGCATGGATGTATCAACTACCAAATATATTACGGCTAAGATTCATTTTTTTTACATAAAGTTATACTCAGTTACATATTTACTCACATACAATTATGTTTGCAAATAATACCGGATTTATAGCGATTGTTTCTTCTCAAATTGACCTTCAAAATTCATCCAAATTATAATCGCTAGTTAGTACCGTATGCGCCATGATTTTAAAAGAAGCAATGATAACGAGGCAAGCATCGCAGACATATACATGTTTTTAATAAGGTATGAAGCAATGATGTTTTATTATAATAATATTATGTAGATAATTTGAAAAAAACGTTCAAAATATTTGTGAAACTTTGTTACATTTTAAGTAGTCGAACAAAATTGGCGAAACTATTGGTCCCTCGAAAGCTGCTACCAATAGGAAATATAACGACTCTGGGAGTGTCACGGCTTTGGAAAGCTGTGAACACAAGGATAATAAACGCTTTTAGTCGATATAACGGTAGCGCTGCTGTGTCGTGCAGTTGCCTTGTGGTATCTATTAAAAAAAATTTAAATAGAATCAAGCCTTTTTTCTTAAATTGTTTTGAATCGATTCGAATTGATGTTGATTGACCTTCCTACTAGGATGTGCATTATTCCACTTACTTCGGGAGTACCAGCGAAAGAGCAAGTATTCTGGCTTTCTTAATATAAGAATAGTGATTCAAATGAGTTATTGTTATTTAATAATTTTAAGAAACATTGGGTTGTATCAAAAGATGGAAACATGGCGCTTATGAAAATACAACAACGTGCGGCTGGATTGTCAATATTTACCAAAGCAGTTGGAAGCATGGAACCACAGGATATTACCAAACTTTACAAATTTTCAGAAGGTGCATTTATTTGAAGACATTTTCACGGTTAAAGAATTGAGTAAAAATTGAGTTTTTGTTAACGATTAGATGGTACAGCTGAGTAAACCTAATTTCATGAGGTTTTCAGACCCTTTCTCCAAAATAGTTCTAATTCCATTATAGCAGCATAACGTAACGAGGATTATTAAACATACAACTGATGTGGCTGTCCGTGACGTTAGCTTTAAGTTTTTCGCCTTCAAAGTTTTATAACATACGCATTTAATTACAAGGTTGTGAAGAGCAGAAACTTGCTATTCATACAGCGTACATGCATTGTGGTCGACAAAATGTCATTGACGAAAGCGAAATGAAAAATGGAGACACAAAGATAACACTGTCAACAAATCCTCCAGTGATTAATTTTGGAAATGATGTGGACGTAATTACAAAAATTACAAACAGCAGCGATTTTGTTCGTCACTTGACTGTGAATTTATGCGGAACAGTGGTAGCGGAAGATGGAACGCCAATCATGAAATTACAAAAAGAAACGATATTAGCGGAAGTTCTCGCAAATGAAAGTAAGTTTCATCTCTAGTGTGATTTGACCAATTTGTGTTCACAAATTTACGAATCAATTGGCAAACACTAGCATTTGTGCCAAATTTTCCACTAAAAATGATACACGCTGTATTACCTATAATTTCATTTCAGTAAAAATTGTTAACTGGAACGTTGAATCCTAATTCAAGATTCTGATAGTCTTTTTAATTCCAGGTGTTGATATTCCAGTGAAATTTAACTTGGGTCCATATTTGCACAAATTATCTCCAAATTGTCACTTACTATTCACTGCATTCGGAAAAATACGCGAACTTGAAGAACAGTACAATATTGCCACACATTATGTGGGAATAAAATATCCGGAAATCGAGATTCAGGTAAATGGTAAATGTTTTTCATATGTTGATCATGTACTGTAAAGCAATTCTAATGCACCGTTTTTGACGTGGGAAGCTCATAATCCTTTTAACACTGTGCTTATTTTGCGTTGAATAAATATGAATTGAATTTACATCAAGTGAATAAAACAAGCTTTACTTAGATACATGGAGAATTCAAAGTAGCTGGTGAGCTGACAATCGTATCTCGAATTCGGAATCCTCTGCCAAATCTACTGCTCAATTCAAAGCTTATTCTGACAACAAGTGGTTTAACTCCACTGCATATTGTTACAAACTCGGGGTAAGACAATAAGATAGACAAGCGCCCTAAATCCAGCAGACCAGATAAAATTAAAAATATTTTACTATTCGGTTGTGAAATGGCCAGTATAAAAGTTCCCATATAACACCAATCCTATTTAAATCTCAATATTTTAAGTAATATTTCAGGATTTACTTCTGTGTAATTAACGAAGTTTTAATTGCGATCGAATACGGCTCCTTGTGCATAATTTTTTTTATTTTTTTATATTTCCTTGACATTTACAGAAAGTCTGTAGGACCATGGCAAGTGTTCAAAACAGAGAGATTATATCGGTGTCAAAGACCAGGGAAGCATACTATTGTTGCTTCGTTCACTTCTGATCGTATGACTGGATTGATGGGAATACAAGACATTAATATCGCATGCTGAAAAACGCGTGACAATATCAAAAATTGAGCCTACATGTTGACCAGTACAAATATGCGTGGTGAAGTACTTTTAAAAAATGAGATTCGCAGGAAGAGAATTTTATTATACGCTGGCATGGACTGAACAGAAAAGAGATGTTTTGTCTTACGTACTAGAGTCTATCATTTATATTGTAGATTTTAAAGATTTTAACTTCAAGTTATAACACTATAATAAAAGACGTTAAGTTCATATACTGCGATGCTGCCGTATTTCCGAGAGTAACTTTTCGGACAATTCTTGGCATAATCGCTGCGCCCAATTTTGCCACTTCAAGTGATATCCTCGGCTCGTTTAAACTCAAGTAATGAAAATTGTCTGGGTTTTCAAGGAATTACTGCGTTCTAATATAGTGAATTGATGATTTTGATTATTGTTTTTTCTGTTGTTGTGTGAATAGCGATTAGAAAGAGAAAAGTGAGGTCAGACCTTGGTTTTCCGATTTCATTTGAACGTCAAATATTCTGACAAAATATGGGTAATTTATTTATTCGTAAAAATGTTTTCAAAGGAAGTTCACGCGCACTCACTCAGAAGTATAGCATTTTCACCTCTTAGCAAGCCAAAGCCAGCTGACGCGATACTTGAACAGCAATATCAACAGACTATGATACAAGCACATCGCAGAAGGCCACTAGAAAGTCAAGAAAATCTACAAGATCTATTTTTATCTAGCAAATGTATCGCGCTATATCGTTGGGAATGTCAATATATACAGCCAAGGTCGGATTTAGAGTTCTATCCTTCATTTATCATTAGTCTAATCGGATGGGGGAGCCTGGTAAAATACGGTCAGCTTAATAATATCCGGCTTCATTCAACGTTCTCGCAATTGATATTTTATCGGTCACTTAGCTTCTAAACTTTCATTAGGTATTGGGCATGGCTTGTTCCTTGTAGGTTGGTGTGGTGATTGATCCCAAACTGAAGTTAAATGAAACATTTTACTCGAACAGGGCTCTCTGTACAAATGCGATTTTGAAATTTCTCCATAAAAATTCTGCTCGTCCTATGACGTCATGTTTATATATTATGACATCAATTTCTGTATTGTGACATCACTTTTTTTAAACACAATAATAGTATTCCGTGAACGGCGTCAATCCGCGGAGAGTTGTAGTGGATCGTACACTCTTTTCGAACATTATTATGACAACACTCCTTAACTGCATTGCGTCACATTTGGGAGCTCCCGAAGTATGAACATAGTATTATATATGCGCATGTCATTTCGTTTCTTGCCACAGTTGTAAAATGCTTGTCTGAAGAAGTCTGACCTCGGTCAGACGAAACGTTACAGAAATACATTTGTGTTAGTGTGCAGCAAGACTCTTGAGCTGAATAGAATTGTCATTTTCACTCTTGCTATAGCATCCTTGCGTTTTCGCATACGGATCCACCAGCGCAAAGCATATGGAGCAAGGAAAGGTAGTTTAGTTTTCACGTAACCCTAACTGTTAGTTATTGAATATAGCCTACCTGGTGCAATGCCAATCATGGGCTAGCGTCGCGCAGCAGAGTTTAACAATTATATATATATACGGACGATTGCAGAAAAATTACTTTTGCATCGTTGGTAATACGATACCTAGTGTTTAATTAATTTCACATACCATGAGAGCAATGTTGATATATATGGACACGACTGCCCCGCATCGATACCATTTTTATATATTTTTCGCTCATAAAAAGCATTGTTTGGAGCAAAAAGCACCGTATGAAAAAAATCACATAAAAAGGCGCATATATATTTGAATTTGAGCATGTAGGGCTACTGGTGCAATATAACTATCCACTGTACTAGGGTTACCATATTGACCTCAAAGCGGGACGCTTCCAAAGACCATAGCTGTGTTTTTTTCAACTTTAAATTTACCGATTCTACATTAGGGGCCTACATTTGAAACCATCCCGGCTGTCTTCATTGACCATATTGTCACCGAGAGTAACTATACATCGGACATATAACTATATATCGTTTTGCTCACACCGGTTGTGCTTTATTTATTATCAACTTGAATCAATTTACCTTAGGTAGGCCTACTATTTACTTTTAGTATATATATATATATATTCCTATTCATAGGTAGTGCACTAATATCGCTATAATTAGTTTATTACTTGATTTCCCCTTGTTGTGATCTACTGTTACGAACTTTAGTCGGTGTTCATATCTGTATTTAATGAGCAGCAATTCAAACCAACATCCTCTTCTGACCATACAGATATAGGCTATTGTAAATTTCAAGACCTTTATCGTTGATTCAGAGTAATAACATTCTCATCTTGTAGGCTTCAGGTTAGGTTACTCAACAAGTTTCTTCCGAACGCACTTCCGAATAACTCAAACTGCTTATACATATCACATGCACCCGTCCAGTCCAAGTGTTTTGAATGCATCCGCCATTATGCTTTGTAAGTGCAAAGTAGGCTTACGAAGTTTTATACCCAATGGTTATTTTTCAGGGAAGTAAATTATACCCCACTGATCGACACCATTTTATAGTTCTCCGTGTGATTGTCAACTAAATATATAATCATGAGGCATCTTACTTCCCAAACATCCACACCAGCAATCAGCTCAAGCAAGTATCCTATTAATATTTACTTGCATCTTTACATTCTGACAGAACGAGGGGAACTAGTCCGGCAGAATCGGGCCTTAACATTGTTTTGGGACATAAAGTTTTTTTTATTGTTTAGATATAATGTTTATGACATATATAATATTACCCAGGTGGGAGTGGAGTATATAATGTTGAGCAATTTTTTTCAAGTGGATTTAAAGTATTCGGGCCAATATGACGCACATCATGAACCCTAACCTTGTAAACATACAATGTTCAGGTTGTGCGCCATCCTGGTAAGAATACTTCAGGAGCGCCTTTTTGTTAAAAACAATTATTTCATAACTACATGGTTTAGTTTTGTATACATAGTAACATTGAATCTCCTTACAATGTCAGAAATTCAATTTTAGTAGAATAAATGGTAGTTTATTTCACTAATACAAGCCAAGATCCATCGACAGCATCTAGCCACTTTCTATTGCGCTCTTCAAACTACATTTGCGTTGCCGCGCGCATTTCGTTTTCCTAGTTTAAGCTTAGGGACTTGGGAAATATTTTATTAGTTGAATTGGATTGGAATATTTGACCTCGTCTTTCACCCCGAACAAGGCCATGTAAAACCATCCACTGGTATCTAAAGATGTGTAACGTGTTTTCCTTTGGAAGAGCCGCAACGTTTCAGTGCTGCATTGACTTTGGCGAAATTAAAATATCCTTGTGGAGATAGAAGGTATGCGTATGCGAAACCGAGATGTGCACCTGTTATACCAACATAGTTGAGTCAAACGTTTTGAATACTAGTACATCACACACATTTTCAAATTCCATTTAATTATTGAGCTATAGGTTTTTGACGAGCTTATGTGTATGATCTAAATCCATAGAATTTGTATGCTGTTCTAAAGAATACTAGTTTCAGCTTTTTCATTCATTCAAACCGCGTGTTGAAAGTAAGTTTTGTAATATTGCTTGTTGGTTTCCAACATCCTTATATCGGTGATGCCAGTAAATCTTTAATACAAAAAGATCAGTAACATCTGCAATAAAAACAGCAGTACCCACTCAAATGACAGCTGGGGGATGGATACTCTTAGTATCTGCTCCATCGCGTGCCTCTTACAGTCTTACCAGTTTACATGAGTGTCAATTGGTATCTGAGCTCAGCCTCAGACAAAAAGTTTCGGACTGCAGTTGGCGTGACGAAATGTTTTTAAATATATATTCTACAATAAGATTATTTGATTGCATACTACTGAAAGTTCCGCCTTATATGCCTTTTCCCATTGTACTATTCCTTTACTGATATTTGATAATATGACGCTCATCTGACATAGTTCTGAAAGTGTGTAGATGGGTATAATCTTTTCCACGCTGTTCAGATGGGAATGCGCGATATATATAAGAATTGCTAATGTTGGTTTGCAATGCGATGAAATCCCATCTTGGCATTTCTGCCTCTCGCAATTGCTGCGTATAATTATCGGGGAAGTTCTGTGGCGTGGTAATCGAATGAAAAAAAAACATGGGAGTATTTTTCTACTTCTCTACTACTATCAAACCTTGACATTTTGTGAAAACTTTTTTCCATGCAATCTTTTTTTAAAACATACCCAACAACCACAATTAATTCTGTTATTAAACTTCCGTACAAACACATAAAATCAGATCATCGGCAGATCGATATTGCTGAGATCTTATTTTTTTTGTTTCTTTGGTAAACCTGTTATCTATCGTTACAGCACATTTGACAATGTTGTAGTGTATTTTGGCCTCACATTTTTGATATTTGTAGTCTTGGGGCTCTTCAAACACAACAACATACAAATATTGGTAAATTGCAAAACATGATCATTTGTTGGAATAACTTGGCATTTTACCACCCGTATATCATTCATTGTTGAGAATATTAATGAAATCATAAAATTTAAAAATCCGTTTTTGTGAAATTTTTGTTGTAGCTGAATTCCAGGGACAGCATGAAACAGGCAAAAGCACGGTCGCCTCTTTTAGTTTATGACAGGGTTTCTTAAAAGGGGACCCCGTCCTCCTTGGAGGCCGCTGATCGGTTATCTGGGAGCACGAACAAACAGATGGAAATGCGAATATATAATAACAATGTATTTTTATAGAAGAGAGAAGCAAAAGTGTTGAGAGTCTTTGGTAGTTTGAAAAGCATTGGCATGGAACATAAGAATGAACTACATTCTTTCCCAGGGATATACCATAAAATGTAGCAATTTTCTAATTCTTGTTCTCGTGATATCATTATCTTTCACTGCGTCGTCGTGATCATTCCGCTGCATAACAGTTCTCGCTAACAAATAATTGACTGTTCTTCACCGGGTGTATATCCACTTGAACCACTGGCGACTGCATTATAGCAGGCTTGTATTGTTTATTGCAACAAAAACGGGGATTTTGAAATAGTACTCTTTATTTTACGCGTATATTTCGACAGTATTTCCATATACTGTATATGGGTCGCGACCCAGAGCTGGGCCCAACAAATACCTAAAAGTTATTGATTTTATTTCCTAGTAAATTTGGTGTTTACGTAGTTTGTGCACCAAGATTGCGCACAACCTGAACATAGTATTGTAACAGGTTATGGTTCAGGTTCTGCGTCATTATGATGCACAGGTTTGACGAAAAACACTAATACAAATATCGAGCCGTGAAAAAAAAATTGCTCAAGGCTGCAAACTCCACACCCATGTAGAAATGATGGGCAATAACCCCAAGATGAATATTCACAATTAAAAAAAACTTTATGTCTGAAATCAAACTTGGGCCAAAAAGGTCCCCTTATCTGTCGGACTAAACCGAGTTTCACCCACATAGTCGAGTCAAACGTTTTGAATACTAGTACATCACACACATTTTCAAATTCCACTTAATTATTGAGCTATAGGTTTTTGACGAGCTTTTGTGTATGATTTAAATCCATAGAATTTGTATGCTGTTCTAAAGAATACTAGTTTCAGCTTTTTCATTCATTCAAA